TGTTTCTCTCCTGATGGAAATACATTAGCTTCTGGTAGTAGTGATAACTCTATCTGTCTATGGGATATAAAAACGGGATAATAAAATACTAGATTGGATGGTCATAGCGATTATGTCACATCAGTCTGTTTTTCTCCTGATGGAAATACATTAGCTTCTGGTAGTTATGATGAGTCGATCCTTCTATGGAATATAAAAACGGGATAATAAAATACTAGATTGGATGGTCATAGCGATTATGTCACATCAGTCTGTTTCTCTCCTAATGGAAATATATTAGCATCTGGTAGTAGAGATAGATCTATCCGCTTATGGGATGTCAAGACAGGATAATAAAAAGAAAAATTAGATGGTCATGGTAGGCCTGTTGATAAGGTTTGTTTCTCACCAGTAGGAAATACATTAGCATCTGGTAGTTTAGATAAGTCTATCCGTATATGGGATTTATAAACAGGATATTAGAAAGAAAAATTAGATGGCCATAGTGATAGAATTTGGTCAGTCTGTTTCTCTCCTGATGGAAATTATTTAGCTTCTGGCAGTTATGATAAGTCTATCTGTTTATGGGATGTATAAACAGGAGACTAGAAAGAAAAATTAGATGGCCATAGTGATAGAATTTGGTCAGTCTGTTTTTCTCCTGATGGAAATACCTTAGCTTCTAGTAGTGATAACTCTATCCGACTATGGGATGTGAAGAATTAAATATAAACTTTAACAGCTGACAAAACTTATAGACCATTTTAAAACAATCCTCTATCATGTATTTTATCTATTATTTTTTAGTATCCAAAACCATTACAATTCTTCGAATATCTCAAACACCTTTATTTTAAGCATAAGGAGCGTTAATTTTCAAAGGAGATTTTGTAAATTATGAGGGGTTCGATTTAAGATCACTATTTCAATCCAAAGGAAGTTGCTTTATAGAAGACTAAAAATAAAAGTGAATTTGATTATTATCAATATCAATTATAATTAAAACCAACCTTTAGTATTTTTTTAATTATGTCTTTATTAGTTCCACTCTTCAACTTCACATTTTAAGATAGATAAAAAGTTTTATTCCATCTCAGTCATACACACACCTCATTTATTTTAATATTTTAAGATTTAGGTTAAGTCTAGTGTAAGGAATATTGATTTAAATATCATAAAAACTGTTATCAATTAATATTTCTTGAGATTTTATTTTAAATGATACCTCTTTAAATTAATAATCTAAACAGAGAACAGTAAGCACAATGAATATATTAAAATAAAGATCTTTAATTAAAACAACATTCTTTTATAATAAATCTTGGATATTATATTATTGATTTACTTAATTTACTACTATTTATAAACGGGAAGAGTCTTAATTACTAATTTTGTAAAATTTATTTTTATTTTATAAATTGTAAAAGATATTTTTAATAAAAATAAGAAAAAAGATACATCAAGAATTAAAAAATAAAGTTGTACCTAAAATTAATCTAAACTACAAAAAAAGTTAAAACAATTAGATTGGATGACCTTTAAAATTACACTTCTCTATTCTTGGAAATATTTTTCATTAACTTTCATTATTCAATTGATATTAAATGTTTTAGATATTAAAAAAACTGAAAGGATTAAGGTTTAAGGATATAATTATATCTTCTCTTACAACTATCTAATAATCTTAAATACTGATCTATGTGAATTCTTATATACATCAAAAGGAACAACTTTAAACAGTACTTTTCAATTTATATATATAAATTTTTTATTGATAAAATAATGAAGTTTAATTTTTTTTATGCCATATAAATCTGTATAAATTTTTAGTTTAATTTTATTCTTAACAAAACTAATCAAACTGAAAATCTATTTATTTTTTTTTATATCCGTTTGAAATTAAGATAATTTTTAAAAAGAATCTAATTCTTGAAAGTAATTGAACTAAAGATAGATACCTCGTCTATAGCTGTTCGAGAAGCCGAGGCATACCCAATCTCCCAGAGCCTCTCCGAGTTAAAGGTCTCAACGATGAATTTGATCAGATATTTTTGAAGAGTTATTTCAAACTAAAATATCACTCTTCACTTCAAAAATGAATCTGAAATAATTTCAGAAGTTAATTTATATTATTTAGAAATTTAGAAATCTATCAATTACAGAACCTATAATTTGAACATAGAAGATGTAAATGAATGAGATGAGATTCATCAAATGACTGTGAGAGAATTCTATTATGCAATGAATGAGTTTGAAAAAGACTAGTTTAAATTTATGTTCATTAATTTAGATGAAACAAAAAAAATTATTATTATATAATTCATTCATAAGAAATCACTTAAAACTCATTCTTTTTAAAAGTTCTCAAACTATACAAAATACTAAAGGGTTCTTTAATTTTTAGGAACTGGATGATTGTAAAATTAGTAATTTTAATGTAAACTTTAGAGAGATAGTCATATTAAGAATACAACCCTTAAAATTAATTTAGATGTTCTAAGATGATATGAGAGAGTATAATATTGAATCATACAAAATTATTGAAAAATAAATATGTAATGAATCTGAACAAAAATAAATAATCACCCTATGTATTTTAAGTTAACTTCGAATTCTGCTATGTCTATAAAGTTTATTTATTTTGTTTGTAATAGCTACAAAACTTCATCATTTTTGATATTATCTTGTGTGGTTGCTAGAAGCCTAAATGTAATTCTTTAAGAAGAATCATCAGGACCTATATATGTATATTCATTAAATTTAATTCCAACAACTTCATCAGGATAAATTACTGTTTTATACCTATCAATATTGGGTATTAAACATGCCAAATGAGTCTCAGTTTAACCAATTAAAATTAAACTCCTTACTTTATCCTTGACGCATTACCATCTAATAATAGGACGCTTACCCGGATTTATTAAATATCCATCCTTCACAATAGATTTATTCTCCTTTGAAAAGTGGACCTACATACTAAATTAAGTATAATCGTCGATAGCTCACCCTAATAAATTACCAGTTGCTCCCCCCAAAAAACNTTTCGTCTTCTTGTTAAAGATAGGATTTGAACTTCAATAGACAGGGACCAAAATTATAACAATATAAATTTTTTATTGATAAAATAATGAAGTTTAATTTTTTTTATGCCATATAAATCTGTATAAATTTTTAGTTTAATTTTATTCTTAACAAAACTAATCAAACTGAAAATCTATTTATTTTTTTTTATATCCGTTTGAAATTAAGATAATTTTTAAAAAGAATCTAATTCTTGAAAGTAATTGAACTAAAGATAGATACCTCGTCTATAGCTGTTCGAGAAGCCGAGGCATACCCAATCTCCCAGAGCCTCTCCGAGTTAAAGGTCTCAACGATGAATTTGATCAGATATTTTTGAAGAGTTATTTCAAACTAAAATATCACTCTTCACTTCAAAAATGAATCTGAAATAATTTCAGAAGTTAATTTATATTATTTAGAAATTTAGAAATCTATCAATTACAGAACCTATAATTTGAACATAGAAGATGTAAATGAATGAGATGAGATTCATCAAATGACTGTGAGAGAATTCTATTATGCAATGAATGAGTTTGAAAAAGACTAGTTTAAATTTATGTTCATTAATTTAGATGAAACAAAAAAAATTATTATTATATAATTCATTCATAAGAAATCACTTAAAACTCATTCTTTTTAAAAGTTCTCAAACTATACAAAATACTAAAGGGTTCTTTAATTTTTAGGAACTGGATGATTGTAAAATTAGTAATTTTAATGTAAACTTTAGAGAGATAGTCATATTAAGAATACAACCCTTAAAATTAATTTAGATGTTCTAAGATGATATGAGAGAGTATAATATTGAATCATACAAAATTATTGAAAAATAAATATGTAATGAATCTGAACAAAAATAAATAATCACCCTATGTATTTTAAGTTAACTTCGAATTCTGCTATGTCTATAAAGTTTATTTATTTTGTTTGTAATAGCTACAAAACTTCATCATTTTTGATATTATCTTGTGTGGTTGCTAGAAGCCTAAATGTAATTCTTTAAGAAGAATCATCAGGACCTATATATGTATATTCATTAAATTTAATTCCAACAACTTCATCAGGATAAATTACTGTTTTATACCTATCAATATTGGGTATTAAACATGCCAAATGAGTCTCAGTTTAACCAATTAAAATTAAACTCCTTACTTTATCCTTGACGCATTACCATCTAATAATAGGACGCTTACCCGGATTTATTAAATATCCATCCTTCACAATAGATTTATTCTCCTTTGAAAAGTGGACCTACATACTAAATTAAGTATAATCGTCGATAGCTCACCCTAATAAATTACCAGTTGCTCCCCCCAAAAAACCTCCAATTATACCTCCAATCACAACACCAATTGGGCCTGCAGCAGCCCCTAAAGCCATGCCACCTTCAATACCTAAGTAACCCAATCCAATTGCACCTCCAGTTTTAACAGCAATCAACATAGAATTGTAAACTTTCTCGCTTTCACTCAAGAAATCTGACAATAATACTCCTCCAATAGATATGGAAGCCATAAGTGCAGTTAATCCCATTCCAACATACGGAACTGCTTTTCCAAAGGATTTTACACTTTAGGCATACATCACTCCACCTTAAACTGAAGCCGAAAACAATAAACCTTTACCTAGCTTTTCTTCATCGACTCCATCAATTATGCAGTCCACTGTTAAACTCCCTACTGTTCCTGCAATTACACCACCAATTTGCCCTTATACTTTAGCCTATTAAAATTGATAATTCATTTCCTTGGCTTGAATGCTTTTCATGTCAAATTTTATGTTCTTTTAACCCTTAATTGATGATTAAACATCTTAGACTGTTACTGATTTTGTTTCTGTTGGTTTACCAACTTTTTACCATTTATTCGAATATCCATTTTTGCCTTGAGCATCAATTTTTTTTGTAAATGTCAACTCATTGTTATTATTTGGATTATGATGCATTAACAGTTTATTACCATCCTAAAGAGTTGCTTCATATGCAAAATGACCATTCTTATGCTATACTTATTGCAAAGATGTAATCTTCTAGGCTTTAAGTTATTAGAATGATAATACTGTTGTATTATCTTAATAAACAGGTTATTTTTAGAAATAAAGGCCTTCAATATTTTAAGTATTCAAAATTTTTATATTTGAACTCTTTGTTTGTTTCATAAAGAATTATTATTATAGATTTTATAAATATTCTTTTTCCTATTCAATATTGATAACTCCTTTCAAAATCAATGTACAAATATTTTGTCTTAAAGATTTCATAACTTCATCAATATGTTCTTCGAACAACTAATAAAAATTTTGCACTGATTTGTTTTAATATTCAATTTTTACGAATTAAATGTAGGTTCTAGTTAGATTTTTAATTTGAATTAAAACATCAGGGTAGTTTGAATGAATGAATACCTTAGTTAATTAAGTTTCAATTTATTTAAACACATTTTCCAATTCATTTTATATCTTTTAGAGAATTGGTCTCAAATCAATTTCATAGTCATATTTTGAATCAGTATAAAATGATATCAATTCAAAAATTCTTTTACTTTAAAAATTTACCAAGGTTTCGATTTTAGGCTTTATCTTCCCCTCAATTATTGAGTCCCAATAAATCTTTCTCAACATCGGATCAAGTGCAAAAGCATAGTTATTCTTTACTTATTTGATGTTCACAATATAGATTTACTGGTCCTAAATTTATGCAAATTGTATTTCTTTTACAATGAATTCAAATTATGGGAATAATATTACTTCTTTTTCATTTTGATAATGGGAATGATATTATTGTAATTCAAAACATGGATGAGGAACATCTTCATCCAATTTAATTTTGTAAAGTATTCCATAATTAGAAAAAGAAGAAAATTTATGTGCAATTTCTCGAGATTAAGAAGTGCTAGTAATTGTATTCCAAAATAATGATATTCTCTCATCTTTTGATGAATTGAGATCTCGAATAATTTATTCAAAGTTGTTTTAATCGTCAAAAGATATACCTCTAAAAAGTACTTTAAAGTAATTGTTTTTATTTTAATTTTCCTTAAATCCTTAATAAATTTCTTAATAATTATGCTAAGCAAACTATTAGTTAAAAGTTGAATATATCTCTTCTCTGCTGTAAAGGTAAATTAATTTCTCAAATAAATTGAAATTCTAATTAGTTATTTCTAATTTTTCTTATTCTTTCTTTTTTAAATCTTAGAAAATATTATACTTTTTATTTTATTTATTTTATTTAGAAAGTAAAGCTTCTATTTCAGCAAAAACCTTATATTCTTTAGGTCTTTTTTATTTTTTTAATTATTCTATGACAACTAGAAATTAGATACTCACATGATCTTTCGAATGTTGATATTCTGTTGCTTGTTGTTATGGCGGCAATAATAATTTAATAAATTCTTTTTGAATATCTGATTAATTCATACTCATGATAGCATTTTCATGAGCAGATTCAAATGAATCTGACACTATAGATTTAATCTAAACATTTTTGATGAACAAGTCTAAATGATTAGATTTTCTTCCACAAAATACGATAATGTTTTATTTTGTATGCTCTACAAGTTAATAAGCATATTATCCACTTGTTAGGATAGTTACATAATTATCACCAATTTTGTACAATATTTCCAAAGCGTCAGATATATCATCAATAGCTTGAAATGCATTCTAGTAAACATTGTATAATTGTTCACAATATTACTAATTCTCCAAGTTTAAAATTTGGCTGTCAACCCAAATAAGTATTGGATACTCTTAATTATTTTCTTCAATCTAATACATTTAGATAATATTTATTTAATTAAAATGATCATATATTTTTTTTTGTTTTAATTTAAGAAAATAATAATTTTATAAGGTAGAGAACCAAACCAAAAGCAGTTAATAGCATTAATGAAAATAATTGATTGCTTTAATTTTTCATCCACTTAAATAAGGGAAATTTGGAAATTAAGCTTTTCTGTTCAGCCAGCTAAAATACGATCATATCATATTAATTCCTTTTCTTTTTTATTTTATCAAATCTGCACAATTTTTTTTAATTAAAAAAAAAAAATCAACATTCTCTTTTTTTAGGTGAGAAATTTTATTATCAATTTCGAAAACGTTTGAGAAATTTTTTGGCATTTAGGTTTATGTACATGTCATTTTTCTTTTATTTAAAGAATCATTAATTTTTTTTTTTCAATTTTTAAAGAATTGTCAAAATATCAATAAAAGAGAAATTAATGTATTTTATTGATGAAATATTCTTTATAAATTTGTGATTTACTTTTATTTTTAGTAAATTTTCTTACAAATACATTATTTTGAAATGTAACTAGTAAAAGCTTCTAGCAATTTTAATTTAGACAATATAAGTCCTAAACTTTATTTTATAAGCAAAATTTTTTAATCTAATCTTAAAGCATATATAAAATAAATTTAAATTAGTTTTCAAACACAAAAAATCTAGTTATTTTATAACCAGAATTATTATCCAAATATAAACATTTTTTTCAATTATATTTATATTATAATTTATAAAAAAATAAACAATTATTGGAACTAAATATTTATAAGAGTTTAACACTATATGCCTGTAATTTCAATATTATTTTTTTTAAAATTTAGCTGTTAAAGATTTCAGAATTATAAGTATGCACAATACCTCAGTCTAATGATCTAAACTAGGTATCTTCCATTCAATTAAGAGGTGGTGAATTCTGTGGAATAAATTAAGTTTATAGTGATTCTATATAGAGGTATTAATAAAATGAAGAAAATTTCGAATCTAAATTATAAACATAAACTAACATAATTGTTGAAAAATCATTAAGTTTTCAAGATATAATGAATTAAGATGAAATACTTACTGCATTTAGTGGTTTTACAATAATAAGGAGAAATTTCAAATTGTTTCTAATGAGGAGTCTTTTTAATAAAACAAATTATGATCATATAGAAAAAATTGTAGAATAATTAATGAAATTACTACATCTATAGATTAGACTTTCAGGTTTTCTATTTTTTTCATTGCTCTAATTTTTTAATGATTCATTTATACTAATATTTTCATTCCATGTAATGCAAACTCTTAAAAAGAAAGGATTTAGTTATTTCTATTATGCGCAGTTTACTTTCATCAATATCTTAATTAAAACCAAGCAATGAATTAATATCTTCTGTTATAGTAAGAGGAAAATTCTTACTTTTGAATTTCTATGATAAATAAATTCAAAACCCAATGTATGAAATCTATTAAGTAATTTAATTGCCCTATAACAAATATTCAAGTAACCTGAAAAAATTTTAAATTAAAATTTTATATTTACAAAGTAATAAATAATAACATGTATTGAAGAAGTTGAAAATCAATAAATAATGTATTGTGATTTTTATATAAATGTGTCACTATACATCTATTTCTCATCAAGAATTGATGGATAGAAATCTTGAATTCGAAAAACTGTTTGAGCATTTATTAAACTAAAATATTTAAAATTTTACTGGCATTAATAAAAATCTAGAAAAATTTCAGATAAAAGTTTCTTTGAAAAAGAGAATCTTCTTAATGAATTTAGTGCAGAAAGAATTAAAAATTTTTACTAAAGAATCTATATCTTTATTTAACTTAATTTCTTTTTAGAATCAATTATTGATATTAAAATTGATTTTGGAAATTTATCAACTTTAGAAAAATATGTTTAATGAGAAATTTTAAATAAATCAAGTGTATTATTTTCAAAAGATTTTTATAATTATATATTCTAGCTTAACAATTTGTAAGGATTAAAAATGCTTCTTAAAATACATAATGTGAAATTATTCTAGAGGTCATTAAAACATTATCGAATTTTGCAAAATTAATGCACTATCCAAAAAGATAAATATAACATAAACTGATATAAATGAATAGTTTTATTCTCAGAATTTTTAACGAAATTATAACTTATTGGTTTAGTTTAGTAGGATAAAAAATATTATCTAATAAGAAATTATCAAAATTATTTGATGAACATCTTTTGGATGTAATCAACTTAGAAGAATCATTAATGAAATTAAAAAAAAGATTTATTTGATTGTGAAAGTCCAATGAAGGTATTAGATAATTTAATAATTATATCATAAAAGTTAATATTAATGTTCAAATAAAATCTTAATAATACACACTCTGAAATTAAGAAACAATATTAAAGCTTTTTAATAAGTTAGAAGGTACATATTCATAAAGCCTAAATTAAGTAATAATTGATTTATAACAATAAACATTATAACTTTTAGCCTTTTTATATAAGAAATAAATTAAGTTTCAAGAAGAATTTTTGTCAAAACTTCAAAATTAACCAACAATATTTTAAATTCCTGGCATGATATAAATACTTAGCTTTAATACACTTAGTATTGATAATTAGGAAATAAAGGGGATGGAAAACCTGATGTATATAAATATTATTATAGAATTAAAAAAGGGCAATAGAGTTAATTAAGAAAAAGGAATACTAGATATATCTGAAAATTCACCTTATAAATTGAGGGTATTACTTGTATTTAATTTAATTATGATGCAATGAATTATTTACCAAGTGCTCGAAATTTCCTCTAAATGATGAAATGATTATGATGCAGAAAAAGGTATTTTCATAAAGTTTAACAAAATTTCTCAATAACATTAAAAGTAGAAATGGAAAACAAGATTAAAATAAATAGAGGAACTTGAAACTTAGGTGTTTGTTAGTGATAATTAAGAAGAAACAAAAATATGATTATTTCAAAAAAGTGATAATTTTGAAATATATTTGGATAATATAACAGACATGTCATAAAGATTAAATATAAATTTAATTTTTTCAGAGAAATCAGTAAAGATTTGAAAATTATTAAATCTTTAGATTGAGTACTAATTATTATAAAAGGAGTTGAAGATTCATAAGCAGATTAAGAGGGAAGAATTACTTGGAATTATTAAACATGCTAAAATTAAGATTTTAAAAATAAAAACATGAAAATGAGTTAGATTAAGTTCGTATATAGGTTACAACTCAAGATTATGATCTTATCTCTGGAAATATAAAACAAATATAATAAAGGGGAATTTATTACATTCTTAGATTAATATGATAATTATGATGGAGAATTGAATGAATTTTTATGGAGTGATTGAGAAAATTATAAAGATGTAATTTTAATTAAAGGAAAAACAGGCTTAATAAAAAGTAGAGTATCACGTAATCAATTAGATAATATAATTAATTCAATAGTATTAAAATAATAAAATTCTGAAGTTTTATTTTCAAGTTAATATGATAAATTTTGGAGAGTATCTTTAAAAAAGGAACTTTTTTAATTATGAGGAGAGTAAAAATTCTTTAAAGTAATTAATAAATTTAATATAAATCATTTATTGAAAACTCCATTTATTATGGAAATAATTGTATATATTTTCCCGGAATTTACATCATTTTTCTCTAAACAAAACTTAATTACAGATCGACTTAAAAAAATTTACATGATTCTGAAAACAGAAGCTAAAAAATAGAGGCATAAATTGATCAATTTTTATAAAAGTAAATAAATGAATAAGATTTTGAAAAAAAGATTTAACCTAGTGCCAAGTAGAATAAAGAAAGTAAATAATCGAATAATTTACTTAATTTTTAGAAGATTTAGATAATTAAAACTTTTTGAATCATTTTCTATAGATAATTAATTAGAATATATAAATAATGTTAGTATTTTTTCAAAAAAATACTTTTAAATTAAATATGATTAATGCTAATTTTATTGTTCCAGCATTTAGATTAAATTAATTTACTGCTTTTGATTTCTATGAGATATTTGCAAACTATTATAGCAATTCACAATTACAAAAGTTAAAAGATTTAGGGTAAAATATCAAAATAGAAAGTTGTTTTTAGGTTTACAAGATTCGCAAATATTTTTGGTTATTAATATATCATAGGGATAACTTATATATCATAAATATATCTCATTACAGAAAAGAATTAAGAAAAATTCAAACAATAGCTATGTATCCAAATTATTAACTCTTAGCTATAAGAGGCATTCGAATTAAAATATGGAATTCTGAAAATATTTCAGATATTTAATTACTTCTCGAACAACCAGTATAACAAAACCTATAATAAGGATAACTTTTTCAAAAGATAGCAACAAAAGGTGAAAATAAGAAGCTCTAATTTTGGGATGTCTAAAACCTAAAGCAAATTTCACTACTACATTCTTTCATTTATTGAATAAATATCTTATTCAAAAAATGGAACACTGTTTACTTCATAGTCTATATCTTAATTGAAGTTGTATGAAGTATAAAAGTTCCCAGAATTATAAGACTTTTTTATAATAGAGTTTAGATATCTTTTGGCTGTTAAATTGTTGCTTTTACCCAAAAGAAAGGTTCTAGAGATGTAAATTCAATAATCAAAAAAGGATTTAAAATAACTTTATGAAATTAAGTTGTTTACAAATTTGATTAAGCACACTGAAGATATTTTACGTTTAAAATTCAGGAATGATAATTTAATATTAGCTTCAGATAGCTTAGACAAGAATATTTGTTATGGGAATTATAATAATTAACATTAATTATTAAATTTTATTTAGATTTGCTTTTTCTTTTGATGTTAAGCAAATAGTATCTAGTAGTTTGGATAAAACAGTTATTTTAGGGATATTACTAATTAAGGTTAACCATTAATGTAATAAAACAATATAAACATTGAAGCTAATAAAGTTATTTTTTGGTCAAATAAGTAAAAAATGACATCATTAAAATGGCAACATTCTAAATTAATAAAATTTTGAATTCTATTATTATCAGTTAAGAAATTGAAGAAAATTTTATATATATAAATTTTAATTAAGTTGATGACAATAAGATATCATTCAGTGATAAAGGAATGATTAGGATATGGAAAATAAATAGAAATCTTTTAGATTGGAAAACAGTTTAAATTGAAAAATAGTATACTAAAAAAATTTAGTGTTCTAACAATTATTTAAGATGACGAAAAATTCTAGAAAAAAAATCCTGTTCATTTTTTTGATATTGTTGGTAGCGCATGTAGGTACTAAAGGTATAGAGATTATAATTATAGAAAACCAGAATAGTTAAAATATGATTTATTTTGAAGCCAATAATTTTCTAATTACTTTTCATTTTCTAATGATTCCTCACTTTTGGCTGATGATAATGAGAAAGGAGCATTTATTAAAAATATCAAAACAAATTAAATATTTTAGAATTTTGTAGAAAATAAAGTGTGAATTTAAATTTTTTTTATTGGTATAGAATACTTGCCAATCAAAATTAATTTTATATGATATAAAATTTTAATAAATAAAAAAGCTAACAATAATTTAATTATTTAGAAATCCTTATATATTATTTTAGAGAAACAAATAAAAATTTGAATTTACAGTTATAGTAAAATTATAGTTATAAATTTATCTAATTTAGAATTTATTTGATAAATTTGATAAGGGTAAAAAATTGAAAGTATTAGATTCTGATTAATTATTAGTAGGAGTTGGATTAGAAAATCAAATTTGTTTTTCAACAAATTTCTGATTCAATGATATTGGATAAAATATTTAACTGAAATAATAGAATTCATACTTATATAAGAACTTTTAATTAGGTAGTAACTTTTTCTCAGTTATCTCAAATTATTCAATCCACATTTAATTTGAGATCAGTACAAATACAATTATTTAATAAATCAATAAGAATTTTGTCCCATTTGTCATCTTAAAATTAAGCAATCAAGAATCATATCGGGTTATAATTTAAGAAATAGAAGAATAAAAGTTTAAATTTTAATAAGTCAACATTTTTAGATGGATTAAATATGTTTCAAGTTATTCTGATCTTACAATTACAGGATGCAAAGTCATGTATATTACTCTTTATGTTTAAAAGTGATACGCTAGTTATTTAATCCATTAGAATTTCTCGAAAAGGAATACAGGTACATATATTTAAATTTTATGCTCTGTTCTCATAAACTATTTAATCTATTATTAAATTATAGAATTTAATAGCCTGAATACAATAACAATTTAAAATGGTTTGTCACAAAGAATTGTGTATTTTCTCAGATTTTTTTCAATTAGTATCTGGATCAGAGTCTTAAACAATCATATGGGATTTTTATAGAACTAAAAAAGATCTATATTTTAATAAAGGTAAAAGATTGCCAAATTCATTTGATTTTCTTAAAATTGATAAAATTTTGCTGCTAGAGATGATTAAGATGCAATCCAATCAAGAAATTAAATAAAAATATATTATCGAACATCATTTTATTTTATAATTTGGTTTTTATAATAATCTAGTTTTTAGTTAAGAACAGACAAAAATTATTGTTAGCATAGAAATTCTGAAATTATAATTTTGAATTTAGAATAGGTCTCTAAATAGAAATAAATTATATTTTTATCAAAATTAAATTTTAGTTCGAAATCGATTATTTTTTCGTCTTATTTTCTTATAGAGTAAGTTGTATAAGATAATAAGGTATTTAACTTTCACGTTAAAATTAATCCATCTGAATTAATTAGTACTGATAATAATCCTGAGTTAAAGAATGAAAAAGTAGTGGGAATTGAATTATGTAAAATGAAATAGCAATTAATGTAATTTCATAAGAATTAGCTATTGAAAATTAGGATTATTATATTCAATTGAAAAAAAGAAAAAGAATCAACGTCACAAAAAATAAAACAGTTTTATCGACAACTTTTTCTAGTAATAGCAAGATTTTTCTTATGCCATGATGATAAAAAAATAAGAATTTGGAATATTAGTGATACATTTACTTTAATTATGCAGAAAGAACTTAGTATTATTAAAATTCTATTAGTTTAAGATAGATATAATATCTATTAATTTTTTCCATTAAAAGATGAAGAATATATTGTTAAATGGCCTGAAATGTACTAATTTGGGATGAACAATTAAATCATATTGTTTATTAAATCGGCAAATATTAATTATAAGATGAAGCAATAAACTAAGTCACAAATTTAAAGAATCTCTCAGTTGGATTTATTTAATTACATAATATTATAGCTATTTAATTTAAAAGAATGTAAAATTATACAATATAGAGAAAAAATAATTAATTACATATTTCGAAGAGGACTCTTTTACACAACTAATTTTCGTAAGTCTGGGTAGAGAATTGATGGACAAATTTCTAATTATAAAAAAATTGGTATTATTGAAGACCAAATTAAATTTGATTTTGCTAAATCATAAAGGTAATTAGAAGTATCAGATTCAATGAAAATAGAAATTTAGAGATTTTTGATGCTTAAATAAATGGATGATAATATTTTCAAAACAAACTAGTTTAAAAATAAAGAATTTATTATTTATATTATCTGGATAACAATTCATACTTGGAATGGATAATTTAATTATATATATAACGATAAGCAACCATTATAAATCTATGATAACAAATTAGTGATTAAATATTTGGAAAAAATCCTCTTTATATAAGCTTCACTTTGTAGTATTAGATAAGCAAAATTTTAAACAATTAAGTATGAAAATTTTAAAAAAATTAGTAGCAAGAAACAAGCTATAAAATTAAAAAAAAGTCTTAATATGAAAAATTTACAAAAAAGTAAGATAATATATTTTGAATAGCTTAGAGAAAATATTAAGACCTTTTGGCTTAGAAATTTTTGAATTTTCAAAATTTCAATTCCCTCTTAATTGTCTAAATTCCTCATTTTTGGTGAAGCTCAAAAAAAAAATATATTGCTTCTGAAATAAGTTTGAATAGAAAAAATCTTTTCCAATGAATAATTGTTCAAACATAATTTAATTAATATTTCCTAATATAAAAATTACTTTAATATTGTGATAATTAAATAATTTATTTTAATACTCTGGCTCTAAGAGTTCCTAATTTAATTATTCAACCCTTCTCTTGACAACTAAAACTTGTTTATGTATATCAGGTCAACCATACAATTTCATTGAGATCAACCTTAAAATAATTTTTTGTTTATAAAGAGCCTATTTAAATTATTTAACAGAACAAGATTTTTTCTATTTAAAAATTTTAGATTTATGATCGTAATCATTTATCTTATTTGTTTGAATTCAACAGCATCATTTGAAATAGAAACTTTAGATCCTTAATACTAAATAGTACATCAAATGGTGAAGATTGAAGATGATGATTTTTTACAAACCAAATACTTTAATTATGGCATTTGGTCTAAATATAATCCTCTAAGTACAATACCATAGACAGGTTTAGTTGGATTATTTGATAGTAATTGTTATCAACTTCATCACATTATTGATAAGAAGACGAATGAATTAAATTTCATATATTACGATTGTTTAGATTATGAGGCAAAGACAATAAAAAAGACAATTAAGTTTGTTAATAATGAAGATGAATAAAAAATATATGAAATTGAAATTGATACATTTGAATATGAAGACTTTTGGTATTTTTTAGAAATCATTTCATGGCCCTTATAAAAACGATTTGAAATTCTGATAATATCATAATAAAAAATAATAATTCATAGTATTGATTAAATAAAATACCCATTCAAGGGAATAGATCTATAATTGACTTTTGGAAGTAGTTTGATTGTAAGTAAATCTAGAATAGAAACAATTTAAAAAGATAAAAAATTCTCATATTATCCTGGAGCCATAATTATATAAAAATATAAAATATAAGATGAACTAAATATTATTGATTGGTTTATATATGTGAAAGATATATTTAAAAGTTATGAATTATGTTCGTGTTAACTAAATTAAAATGTAAATATCTAAGATTAGAATATCAATTATTAACAAAAAGGAGAATTTGTTTCAGATAATTTAAATTGTGATTCTTTTGTTTTATCAGGATGGTTTAAAATATAAGGAATAATTAATGAAGATAATCAATTTATATATCCATTTATAAAATTATCAGCTAATTTTGAAGATTCTAGTTTATCTAGTGATAATTTATCCCCTTTTTTAATTTAATATAAAATATCAGATATTCAGAATTAAATTATTGTAACCACTTATAGTTATACTTTTCCAAAAGTTTCAATTGATTTTTTGGATAATCCCTTTTTAATAGTGGAACCTATTGATATTAATCACAGTATGTTATTGTGGCATAAAATATAAGTTAAATTGATTAATAATTAAATAGATATTTAAATTAAATTTTATGATTAGTAAATAGTTCATGAATATAAATATTAAAGAGAGGTTCGTCAATTTTAATAATTGTAATTAAAATTATTATATGGAAATATTAACTAACTTAAATCAAATTACTTGCATATTTTAATACGAAATTTCTTATTTTTTAATTGTGATCAAACTTTTTCTGAGAAGAACTGCCATCCAAATTGTTAAGAATGTGATGGCCCTACTAATGAAGATTGTCTGTCTTGTTCAGAAGAATCCAAGAGAATTTATTTACCTGAGCATAAAGTATGTGTTTGCCCATATAATACAATTGATGATTAAATTTGTATTGGTTAAGAAGAATCAAATTTAGAATTTATTGATGAACCTTTCATAAATACTGAGTGTAAATATGGTTATTTTGAAATAGATAATGAATGTTACAAATGGTAATTTATATATTATATTTTTAGTCCTTCTGTGATTAGGAAAGATTTAATAATTTGTTTAGAGTGCTTATAAAATCCTAAATCTTTTAGTTAAAGCCCATTTTGTGAAAATGATTTATATATCAGTCAATTAAATTAAACTGAAACACTTAAATGGAGTTATCCTGATTAATTATTATTTGATGGAAATGATTTTAGTGTATTTGGGATGATGTAAGAGCAAATATAAGTTATAAATAATATAGATTATTTGTACTTCGACTTTTCAATAAAATAAAAAATTTTAGGGCTAATCTGCTAGGAATATGAATATTAATGCGAACTAAATCTTTATGGGTGCTAAACATACTATATATCAATTACTAAAGTAAAATGTACATCATGTTTCATTGGAGAGTCACTAGTAGAAGATAAGTGTATTCCAGATGATGTGTATTATAAATCTTGCCATACCCCTAAATATATAACATCTACTCATGAATGCAAATTATGCCCTAAAAAGCATTGTATTTATTGTTTTGAATACTAAAAAGATGAATATTTCTTCAAAAGTACTTTGTATAAAGATTTTGAAAGTTTTAATACTGACTAAAAAATAAATATTGGTTGTGCAATGTGTGAGGAAGGATTCATTTTTGACTTTTTGATCGAAGAATGTATAAAAAAATAACCATAAATTGAAACTTGTTTAAGATCATTTATTAATTTAGAAGGTATTGAAATTTGTACTTTATCTTCTAAAACTGATTTTAGTGTTGCACCTGAAATAATAAATTGTTAGAAATATTATTCTAATTGTTAACAATGTGTCCTTTCTCCTAAATCAAAGTTATAATGTGTACTTTGTAATGAAGGGTATTTTAGTTCAGTAATTACAGGAAATTGTTAAGAAGATAAACATTCTACTAAAGTGAAAGATGGTATTCATGTAATTTAAGGAGACCAATATTAAAATGATGGATATATTCAATTAATATAAAGTTTTTAAATGCAATTTTTACCTGATTAATATTATTATTCATACACTCCAAGATACTTTGATTAGTTTATAATTAAATGTAAGAATGAATATTAATTGACATAAAGTTAATTTTGTTAAAAATATTGTAGTAATGAATGTTTAAATTGCTAAGATAATTATGATAATTTTATTTGTATTAAATGCCCTTTAAATTACTACAAAAATCACATAAGAGTAGAAACTCAAGGTCGATGTGTAAATTGTTCTCATTTATGCTAATATTGTTAAGATAGAGATGAGAATGATATTTAAGTAATATTTTAATACTATTATAGGTTTTGCAACCAAACTTTTAACTTTAGGAATCAAATTCTTAATTTACTATGATATGTCTTAAACCAATTGATGATCCTAATGTAATCATCAATCCATATTTATAAAATGTTAAATACTGTTTTAACGAGATATGTTATAATCATTTTTCATTATCCTATTAATTTAAATACTGTATGCTTAATAGGTATAATCCAGAAGGATATGAGAAAGGAGTTAATTTTTAATACTGCAATTTAGTAGGAGTAGATTAAATGACGATAAATTACATCATTTAAATTGATAAAGGAATAGATTGCTAATTTTCGGTCCAACTTATTTTAAGGAATAGCTTAAAGAATAAAATCTTTTCACTAAAAAAGGTTAATATGAATCTTTTTTCTGTACATGATAATATATTAACTTCATAAGAAAAAATAATCATAACTAATTATGATTAAGTAGAAATCAAAAACATTAAACTTACATTATTTGATGGATTTTTTTTTAATAATAATAACAATTAAGTTAATATCACATTAAAAAATTTTAAATTAATTTAAAGCAACTTTTCTGATATAATAATTCTTCCAACTTAAGTTTATGGAAATATCATTATTTAGGATGTGTAGATTTTAGATTCTATTTTTTTAAATTCATCTTTTTTTGAATTTTAGAACCAATAAATTTAATTTACATTGACAATTAAACAATTAACATTCAAAAACTGTATTTTAAAAAATTCAACATTATTCAAAATAACCTAAATTCAAGCACTCTTAATTTTTGAAAATATCCTTATTGAAAATTGCTCACTATTTAATTCTTCATTTTTCTCATTCTATACAGATTTGAACACGATAAATTCTATCAGATTTTTTGATGTCTAAATTAATCAATGTAATTTTAATCTTTCCTTTTTTCTCAAGAGTGATACTAAATTTATTATAATGGTAAGTAATCTCTTTATTGATAATAACTATTTATTAAATTCAGTATTAATCGCTTTTAATGATAATATTGAATTGATTAATGTGAAAACAAGTTAGAATACTCTTATTGGCTCTTCAATTATATCGACATTAATGATTATAAATTAATAAAGTGTTTTATGTAAGATAGAAGATTTTGAAGATAGTTCTAGTTCTTATTAAGAATCAAATTTGATAATTTTTTATTCTAGTCTTCAAATCAATAATTTTATTCTAAATATTAAAAATATTAAAGTTTCAGAAAATAAATTATTAGATACACTAAATATACAGAATTAACTATTTAAATTACATTGCAAATAATTTATAATTTAAAATGGAATATTTTTAAATCTTTAAAATATTTCTGTGTTTTATCTTTTTGAAATAAACTAGATCATTTTTGATTCTGTAATACTTGAAAATTATGAATTAGAACATAAAGTTCCTCTATCTTAATTTTGTACTGATCAAGTATAATTTAGGAATTAACTATTACAAATTATAGGTTTTTCATCAGTATCATTATCAAACATTAAAATTTTAAATCAATTTAGTATAAATTATTCATTAATGGATATAAGTTTTAGCACCTAATTCATTATTGAAAAATAAGGATAAGTAAAATTGATGAATGTATAATGTAGAGGGAATATTTTATTAAAGAATAAATAAGCCATTTCCTTATCGTTAATTAATATATATTCTCAATATAATTTAAATATTAAACTAACTAATTTTTAGTTTACTGAAAACATAATAAATTAATAAATTGATGAAACACTTGATACTTAAACTAATTTATTACATGTGAGTTCATTAGACAGTTTGGTTGAAATTCATTCTTTATATTTTAATCAAAATGCTTTAACTAATTCAACTAATCCATTTATCACTATTACTGCTACTTTGATCGAAATTTCTAATTTAATATTCATGAATCAAAATGTTTTATCATAAGCTTTATGGTAATAATTTTATAATTTTGAATTAGAGGATTAATATAATCAATAATAAATTAACTCAATTATTTAATCGACATTTAAAATGTTAAATTAAGGAATTTTTATTGTAGCTTCCTCTTTTAGTTGTATAGATAGTGTATTTAAAGAAATTATTGCTTCTTAGAGTTCTATTTTTTAAATCAAAACTTAAGGATAAGGAATAATCAAAATGAATAACATCTAAATTGATTCTGTTTATACAAATCTAAAAGATAGTGGAAGTTCAGGTTGTATTAGTATAGACTCAACAAATAGTCTATTAAATTTTGAGCTTAAACAAATAAAATTTACAAAAATATTTAATAGAATGGCTGCATCATTATTTACGATTATTCCTTCATCAAAATCTAATATTATTCGTTTAAATAATATTGAAATAATAAATTGCCTTTCCTTAATGAATACAATTATGTTTGTTTAATTTTCAGCATAAGTTATGCAATAAAGTTTAGTTAGTTTTAAAAATGTATCAATTTATTCAAGTGAAGAATATTGGATTTAATTATTTTCTTTGATAGGTCCAATTACGCTATCAGAATTAAATAACATATTAAGTGAAGAGAATGCTATGTTGTCCTTTGAAAATTGTAAAATAGAAATAATTAATTTTTATGTTGAAGGTATCGCAATCTCTCCAATTTTTAAATCTTAAAATGCTTATAAATTAAAGTTATTAGATTTTTAACTAGTATCTATATAAAAATTATATTCTTTTGACCTTATACACATAACTTAAACTTTAATAACTAAATCAAGTATATCTGTTGAAAAACTAAAGATAATTAAGAGTAATACATACCAAAAAAAATCTGAAGGAATTCCTATTTTTTCAGATTTGAATTATATAATTGGAGGGTGTAATTTATGGAGGAATACATCAATAATATAAAAAATCATTTTTACAGACATTATCAGCTCGATATAATCTTTTAATTAGAAGTTGAATCAGATGATGTATGTGAAAAGTATTTCTGAATTAAATTATCTAATTTTTTAAGGGATAGAGATGATTAATAATAATGGATCAGACTTTACAAATGGAATAATCACTTTTGAAATGGAATAGTTTAAAATATTTAAAATCTTTAATGTTATTTGCCATTAGAATAGTGTAAAATCAAATGGTTGCATTTATTTTTAGATCTAAAATTTTATTAATTAACCTATAATAATCAAAGATTCATATTTTTTTTAGAATAATGGAAGTTTAGGAGGCGCTGTATAAATTCAAAATGTTAGATTAAGGATGACGAATTGTAAAATTATATCTAATTATGCAAGTAAATCAGGTGGAGGATTGTTTTTATAACTAAAGGATTCTGATTTTTAAATAGAATCAACAATAATTACTAATAATTAGGCGTTAGATGGAGGAGGTATTTATTTCAACTAGGATGGATCTATATTACAATCTAATTTTATAAAATCCTTTCTGTTATTTAATAAAGCCATTTAATTTGGAGATAATCTTATTGAATCTCCCAATCATTTAACATTACTTATCAACAATATGGAAATGCACTCGAAAAAATTGAACATTAATCAAATATTTAATCGTCATTTAGTGCTCAAACCCTATAAAATTATAGAATAAGGAATTCCTTTTCTTACATAGTATTTTATGATCCCTAGTTAATAAGTTATTGATTAGTATTAAATATATTCACCATTCAAGATTCAATATTTTTCATATATCACAAATTTTGGTGTGATGCTGAAGAATAGTTTAAATGAATAACTTCCCAATATTCTTAATACTGAATGCATTCTTATTAATAAAACTATTTATGAAGATAGTGAAGATTAGGTGGGTGAGCAGAAAGAACAAATAATTTTACAATTTGATATAGGAAAAGATTACTATGATTTAGGTTCTCTTTCTTTTATTTTTGATCCCTATAATTAAGAAAGAAAATTGTTATAAATTGAGATTAGTTGTTAATCATCTTATCTGTAACATAGTTTGAAATATATTATGTTAGCAAAAAGCTTGAGATGCCAACTTGGAGAATTTTATGTTAATTCTGGATGTTAAATGTGTTCATCAAATTAAGGATTTTACTCTGTTGTTTATGATGCAACTAAATGTTCAATATTTGATAAAACAAAATTTAAAAATATAACTGAAAACAATATAGATTTGATTGAGGGTTTTTGGAGACCTAATTATTTATCTGATTAAATAGAGGAATGTTTTAAAAATTTAAATTTTTGTGTAGGCGGTTGGGGATAAGGAAATTAAATATGTGACTTAGGACATATTGGAGCATTGTGTGAAGAATGTGATATTTATAATATAAGAGGAGATGGAAAATATTTTAAAAATCAATAGGACTCAAATTGTATTTCTTGTTTTGGAGTTAATGATAGTATTATCCCTTTTATAGCAGCTTCAATTTGGTAATTTTATTTAATATTTAGGTCTTTTATATCAATCATTATAACCTTAAGAAGTATTGAATAATCTAATCAATTATTCAAATGTTTAAAATTATAATAAAGGTTCAGCAAAATTATTTTTAATCTAGAATAAGGTAAATAGATTATTTATTTTAAGGGCACGAAAGTTTTTTAATAAAAATGTTATTAAACTATTTATGGATATTCTCTGTTATATTTACATTCAATATACAATTTTAACTTTCACTCACTTTTGTTGATTCGGCTAGTAATACTTCATATTCTATGACGAATAATTTGGATTGTTATTTATCAGAAAATCTATCCATAAAATTGATTTATTCAAAAATAATTACAATGCTTGTACTAATGACATTCTAATTTATACTTATAATTATGGGATTTCTCATATATAATTGGTATAAAAAGATTGGAATGAGTAATTTTAACTTGGAAACAATCTCTAATAGTCTACTCTACCTTTATGTTTCTAATTATGGTGGATTGGTCAAAATGTAATAAAAAACTTAAACTTTTTTAGGTATTTCTCTATTGTTTCAAAAAGAGATGTTTCAAGTTAGAGTTACATTTAAGGTGATGTTTCTCTACTTTTTGGATCTAAAGAACATTTAATTTGGATTTTTTCTTTTGTTATTCCAGGAATAGGAGTTTTTAGTTTGATTATACCTCTTTCCCTTTTTATTGTAATGCACATTAAAAAAGATTAACATGATAACATTAAAATAAGAAAACATTTTTGCTATTTAATTAATGAATACAATAACCAAAATTATTTTTGGGAAGTAATAAAGTTAATTAAAAAAACAATCATTATTCTAATATTAACATATTTTGAAACATATATTCTTTTAAAAGCATCATTGTTAGGATTATGCTTACTTTTTTATTAGTTATTAGCATTTAACAAGAAACCATATATTCTTTCCAATTTCAATAACATGGATTTATATTCAGCTCAAATGTGCTCTATTTCAATATTCCTTGCTGCTTCTAAATATGTATCAGAACAAGAAAACAATTAATTTTCATCAATAATCCTCTAGATTTTTATTGTTCTTCTTTGTATTAAACTTTGCTATTCATTTATTAAAAGCATATTAGAAGTTTACGTTAATAAGTACTCTAATTTAATATTAAACTATTTGTATATAATTTTGGAAAAGATTTCATCAGATTCAATATTTACAAAAAAATTAAAAACCCATTTATAAAAATCAAGTTAAAGAAATAGGAGATTGAAAAATTTAGTAAATAAACTTAGATAACATCTGTTGAAGATTTCTAAAGGCCAAATTCAATATCAAAAAAAAATTATAAACTCTTAGAGCAATAAAACTTAATTTTCAGGGCCTGATCAAAAATACTTCTTAAACATAGATACTGAGTGATTGTATGTCATATATATTGATCATTTTATCTTTTATTATAATTCAGCTATAAATATGTAAATTATTATAGCTATTATGTTAATGAAGTTTCTATTTATAATTTACTTTTTGATAAGATATTATTCAAAGAAACAATAGTATTACTCTAAAGAAAAAAAATTCAGATTTCAGATTTCAATAAATCTTTTCAATTTGATCATATGCAAATCCCAATTAAATTGATTTCACCTTCACTTAAGTCTTTTTTTCATCTCTTCTTAAACCATATCAAATAAAAATTAAGTGGATTAAAATCAAAACATGAAGATTTTTTTATTAAATAAAGTTACCCTATTGAATAATTATATGTAAAGTTTAGAAATTCACAATTATAACAAACCTATATTTATTTTTTTCATTTATTTTAAAATAATTCTTGAAAATAACAACATGGTTATTCAAAGTTTGTTTAAAATTTATCCATAAAATCTGCTGTTTTAATTTTAACCAATAAAATTTATAGTTTACCTATTAAAGTAAGATAAAAATTGAATTGAGTGATAGGATTAACAGTTATATTAAATTTATATATTTATACGGAAAATAATTCAAGGGTTAGTTTTACATCCAGATAATGAGGTATGATATAATTTAATAGTTCAAAGCATATTCTTTATCCATTAGGTTCTACTATCATATTTAGACATATAATTACAAAACAATAAACATATTAGATTTCTGTAATAGCAATTTCTCAAACTGGAGATTATGTTGCATCTGGATAGAAAACATAAGTGGAATTCTAAGCTAATATAATAACTTTGGATTTCAAAGATAGAAGCATGATGCATAGATTGAAATTATACAAGGTGATAAATCAGTCTCTTAGTTTTTGATTTAATGAATGATATTTGGCATCATTAGGAGGGAAAGACGATATAAACATGTTAATTAATTGGAATATTAAGGCAGGGAAGGCTTTATATGGAACTCTAAATAGAGATCCTGTTAATTTAATCTAGTTTACCATTAATCAGATGAAAAAATGATTTCAGTTTTAAATACCGGAGTTTAGATTTTAACAATAGATAAATAAAATAAAAAGGTATGATGTATGCTTATTTAAAGATTCAATCCTTTGATGTTTATTTTGGAGGTGTCATAAGAACATTTAATTATGTTGCAATTCATAACAATGTTTAATTTTTTTTTTGGAACAAAGACTGGTGAAGTGACGTGACTTATTTGAATTTAAATAAATCTTGCTATATATAAAGGATTAGCTCCAGTCAAGAAGGAATTTTCATAAGGAATTAATTGTTTAGGATTATTGTAGTAAATTGGATATATAATTTTTGGAGCTGGAGATGGTATGATAACAAAATTTTTTTTTCAAACAATGTAAATAGTAGCTTATAGTGACTTACTTGTAGGACTGAAATCTATATCATTTAAAAATGATTAGACTCTTTTTTTTTACAGGAACAATTCAAAATAATATATATTAGTTTGACACTGAAGAAATACCTGTCATTATGAATGAATTAATCATGTTGCTTTTCCTTATAATTATTCTGATGTATTTGCTACTAGTTCTTTAAATGATATCAGAGTATGGAATGCTAAGAATAGATAAGAATTACTTAAAATATAAGTTCGAAATCTAGAATTTTGGGCAGTTGCCTTTATGAATGATGGTAAAATTATTGTAAGTGGTTGGAGTAATGGGAAAATCTGAACCTTTTTACAATAATCATGTAGATTGCCATATTTAATTAATGATGCACCTATACATGGGTGTACCTCATTAATATGTACTTCGGATTGTTAAACAATTATTTCAGTAAAATCAGAAGTAGAAGTCAGGATTTGGAAAATTGGAAAGCAAACTTAAGTTATGAATATACTTGAACACAATAAATTTGGTAAAATAAAAATATTAAAGATGAAAATTTTATTTTATATTTATTGATATAAAGGTAATTATATTAGCCAAAGTAGATAAATAAATACATTAACGAAAATATCAACTTAAGATTAGAGAAATCATAATTGTCTCTAATTTATCCTTTAAAGTAGTAAATTATTTTCAGTAATTGTTTTTCAATTTAAATTTATCAAACTCCGTCTTTAGAATTGTGAATTCAAATTGTTTCTTAAGAATTTATTTTCATTTTCAAATAATAAATATTTAATATAATATAGAGCTTCAATTTTTCGGTTAAATATTCTAAGAATCCCTTTAAGTTAATAATAAAAGATATTTAAATGAGATCATATATCAATAAAGTTTCTTTATAATTGAGAAGAATTTATTAAAAATCAACAACATTATTCCATAAAACTATTTATCTCTATTTATTAAAATTTCAGCCCAAAGAATCTCATTTTTCAATTTTATATTTCATTACACTTTAGAAGCTCAGGAATATAAGAAGTAAACTCTAAAAGATTTTTTTTTCCTAATTGATAGGTTTCGCTCTATTCCTTATGTTCTTACTTACCCATGGCGAACGAACTTCCAAGAAAAATTGATAATATTACAATATAAGGCTCTTAAATACAATAATATTAAATCTATATAGTTGTCTTTAGACTATAAATGTAATATATATTATCGAAAATATCAAAAAGAGAGCTTGATTTCATTCAGATATACTCCTTTCTAAAATAGGGATTAAAATGAACGATAAAACAAAAATTCATATTAAATATAAAATAACTTATTAATTTAAAAAATTATTAATCAATTTTATAAAAGAATCAAGCTAAATAAATGTTGGATTAAATCCTCAATATCATATTTTACCTAAATTATAATAAATTCAAAATCTATAAATTCAATTTTACAAAAATTCTTAAGATGCTTTTATTGATTTGTAGTATAAAGCTTAAGAAAAGTAATAGAAAATCAATATTAAAAAAAAAGAAAATGAATTGTAATTATCACATTCGCAATCCAATAACTATGATATGTCTAGCTCCTCATAGATGCTAATGCTAAAGAAAACTTTGCGCTGAATGCCTAGATGAACATAAAGTTGATTTGAAATAGATTGTATCAATAAGAAGCTTTAAAGAAAAGGTTACCAAGAAATTGAATTAATACACACTAAATGAGAATTCTGAAATAGTAGAAAAAATGATAAAGTTTTAAAAAATGCTTAATCGATCTTAAGCAAAGTTAATTCACATTTTTGAAAATTTGTCTAATTATGTCACCTCAGTATATAAAACGATTGAATAGAAAAACGTATCATTTGTGAATCTAATCAATGAAGATACTAACCTAGCAGAATCCTCCTATAATGACTTAGAAAAATTAGTATAAATTACAGAAGGAACAACATTAGAAGATTGGAATGATGGGAAAATTTCTTTATTATAAAAAATGGATAGGATGATGCATTGGTTTAATCAAGAAATAAATTCTTTATGCTTAAAGGAAGAAATGAAAGAGATTTATTAATTGGTAAATTCTATTAATTAAACAGAATAAGTTGTTGAAAGGAAAAAAGATTTTTATGAGGTTTTAATTCCCTTTAAAAATATTGATATCTAAATATTTAAATCGATGATTGAAATTTTAAGAGAAGCAAAAATTTCGGATTTTTTAGGATTTCTTGATAATCAATAGCATTTGGAATAATATGTAGATAGATAAAGAGATTTAAATTTTGTAAGAAGTAATATTTTAAAAATAACTAATATAATCAGAGATATCAAAGAACATGACTTTAATAAATATGACTATTCCAATGCAAATTATTAGGAAACCAAGCAAGATCTCATTGAGAAAATCTCATAAGATAAAATGATCATTGAAATTTTACAATTTTTAGTTCGTCTTACAGCAATAGATTAGAGTTTCATCTAATGTGGATCAAACGCACTTAATTTATTAGTTGACATGAAAGTTGATCTTTAAAAACGAAGCTTTGAAAATATTAGGATAAAGAATACTTCTTTGATTGGAGCAAATTTTGTGAGATGCAATTTTAGTGGATCTGAATTTAATAATGTAGACTTAAGCGGAATAAATTTCAATGGAACTTAACTATTTAATTGTAAATGGAATAAAATAAGAATTCATGAATTAAATAATTTTGATGGTCATAGTAATTCTGTCCATTCTGTCTGCTTCTCTCCTGATGGAAATACATTAGCATCTGCAAGCGAAGATAATTCTATCCGTTTATGGGATATAAAAACGGGAAAATAAAAAGTCAAAATGGATGGCCATTCAAATTGGGTTCGATCTGTATGCTTCTCTCCTGATGGTACCACATTAGCATCTGGCAGCGATGATTATTCAATCCGATTATGGGATATTAAGACAGGATAATAAAAATTCAAATTAAATGTTCATACTAGTACTGTTTTATCAGTATAGTTCACTTCTGACGGTACGACATTAGTATCTGGTAGTGCAGATAAGTCTATCCGTTTATTGGATGTTAAGACAGGATAAGAAAAATTTAAATTAGATGGTCATATTCATTATGTTTGGTCAGTCTGTTTCTCTCCTGATGGTGCTAATTTAGCATCTGGTAGTTACGATAAGTCTATCCGTCTATGGGATGCCAAAACAGGATAATAAAAAGCCAAATTAGATGGCCATAGTGAATGGGTCTCATCTGTATGCTACTCTCCTGATAGTACTACATTAGCATCTGGTAGTGGAGATAAGTCTATCCGTCTATGGGATGCCAAAACAGGATAATAAAAAGCTAAATTAGATGGCCATAGTGAAGCTGTCCGATCTGTATGTTTCTCTCCAGATGGTACTACATTAGCATCTAGTAGTGATGATAAGTCAATACTTTTATGGGACATTAAAACAGGATAATAAAAAGCTAAATTAGATGGCCATATTGAAACTGTCCGGTCTGTATGTTTCTCTCCAGATGGTACTAAATTAGCATCTAGTAGTGATGATAAGTCTATACGTTTATGGGATGTTAAGACTTAACAAGAGAAATTAGATGGTCATCCTAATAAATTCTTATCAGTATCCTTCTCTCCTGATTATTCAATATTAGCATCGAGTTATGATGATAACTCTACCCGCTTATGGGATGTTAAAACAGGAAAAGAAATTCAACTCTCAGATATGGGTTATTAAGAGTGTCTGGTATAATTTCCAAAACCTCTATTCTAAAATAACCCTCTTTCAAAAGGTGGTATTTATTTTCAATTCGTATTTAGTCAATTCAAATATTACTCTTCTCCTTATATCATCATAGCCCATATTTTAAGCATAAGGAGCTTTCATCTTTAAAGGAGAATTTGCGAATTAATTAGGCATTGATTTAAGAACATTTTTTAAACAAAGTGGAGGTTGCCTTTTGGAAAATTAAATCCAATTAAAATAAGAGTAAATTTGATTATTATAGAATGTCACAAATATAAAAATCAGTATTAATTTTCTTCTGTTATGAAAATAATTTTTCATTTATATTATACTTATTAGATGCATAGAGAAGGATAAACGTTCAATTATTTTTGGATATGATATTCATGTTGGGCGAGATGATAATATGAACTGTTACAATCGACCTCTAAATATTTCCATAAAGGAAAGCTTTATCTTATGAATTAATTTATATATTCAAATGAAAGTTTCTTTGTTACATATTGAACAAATAAACATTTATATGAATAAAAATTAGGTGAGCTGTCGTAATTCCTTCTAATAAAGAAAACGAAATACTAAAATCAACGATGAAATTCTTATAGCAAAAGTTAGAAGTAATTTTCCGAAATTTCAACTTTCACTTTTTCCTCAGAGAATTATTACCTATCTCTACTCAAGGAAACATCAAAACCAATATTCCAAAATTAAAGGATTAAAAATATCAACCTCATCATCTCAAACACCAAAATCATACAAAACAGAATAAAAAATTATGATATATGACACTATTATAGGAAAAAACTTTGCTTGTTAGGTATCTAATTTAAATGGATGATCAATACGCCATAACCAAATTCGATTGAGTTCTAATTCACATAAATCAAGCCTGTTTAAAGAGTTTGAAAAATCAATACATTATGAAATAAATATTAATAAAAATACATTTATTTACTCATTGTAAATTTAAAGGTTTCAACTTATTTGTAAGTAGACTCATATCATATTGATCACATTTCCAGAATTTTACTCCATAGTAATCCAAATTTGCCAAATATTTGCTATTTAAAATTTATAATAATTGATTGGTGGGTGACATTTAATTTCTGAAATGGAGGTATAAAACTTGTTTTCCTATTATTGTTTCATAAGCTTCTATATAATTTTCCGAAATAGCAGCCAATATTTTATCATATTTCAATAAATAAAGATCAGTCTATTTTGAATTTTCTTACTATTTAAATTTTCTTAAAATTTTTCTACATTATAAGCTGTATTAATATATAAAAGAGCGTTATATATCAATTTTCACCGTTTAATAGATTAATTTGCTTGTGTTATTAATACAACTTTCTTTTAAGTTTGTCATGGTTGTGAGATTCTTATTAATCTATAATAATTTCCCGTTTTTAGAATAAATAACTTTTACCTTTTATTTAAAATAAATTATTAAGAAATCATTATATTATAACAATGAGTAGGGCTACTTATCTGCATATATATTATTAATTTATTTAGAAATAATTTCTTAGTTATTATAATTAAGTTAATTTAAATAGTTATTGCTGTCTATTTGTAGTATTGTTGTTTGTTAGAAGATTGATAGATTTGGATTATTGTTCATCTCATACTTAATTAAAATTTACTTATTGACATCATAGAGACAAAGGACTTGATTTGTATAAATTGCAATTTAATTAAAATCATAGTTACAGATCAATTTTGCTGCGTACAATTTGTAGTTAATATTTTCCTCAAATCGTTTAAAAATTGTAAAATCTTATTAATTTAATACTAAAATTATTAATCTGCATCTTTAAAATTTATTATTGATTATTATTCCAGTCTATACGAGAATAAGAAATATAAAATCTTTGGTTCCTCCAATAAGTAGTTCTTTATATTTATCCTCGATTTTGAATTAATATTATGGATCTTAATATATTTAAAAAAAATATTTATTGATTTACTTTCTTAATATTTCAAATTAAGATAGCAAATAATTTAAAAAATCTTACTCTTATAATTTATCATTAATTTTTTTGATTCTATTGAATTCTAGGTACTCATCATCTATTAAATCATATTAATCTTCATCAAAAATATAATGAACTATATCATCGATAATTTGCTAGTATTCTTAATTGTAGTTAAATGAAGAATAATGTTAAATATATTTGAAGTTTAAATTAAGATATTCAATATGGTATTATTCTTAAATTCTATTGATTGAGGTAATATATTCGTATTTCAAATCGTCATCAGATAAACTCATAAATATATATATATAATTATTAATTAATAAATATTATTTTAATATTATTTCAAATATTTACATATAATTTAATAAGCTTGAAGCTTCTTATTATTCTTAAATTATATTTTTAGTAAAATATTTAGTTAATTTAAAAAGACATTATTCAAAATTTCTTACAAAACTATTCTCATGCACTAAGTATTTTTCTCCATAAATTATAAATTTGATTATTATAAAAGGATTAATGTGGTATTTTTATAATAAAAAGTTCAAATAAAGTAATTTCTCAATTCATTAATCATTTCATCTTCTAATACTTAAGATTCAGACGAGAGAAAATATATATCATAAACAATCTTGTGTATATATCATCTTTTCTTTATTAAACAGTTTAGTTAAATAGATTAAAACATATTCAACTTTAACTTAAGTAAATATTTTCAATTACAAATATTTCTTTGATTATAGTTATGTTAAAAACACTTATATGATATTAATTATATTTATATATTATTAAGAATATGATAATTTCGAATTCATTAGATTTTATATTTGCGATATAATAATAATATAAAAAAATCAAATTTAACTTCATTTATATATTAAAAATAAAAATCAATTTTATTTGATATTTAGATATTAAATGTAATTGTAATTCAATTTTTTCAATAAAAAAGTCTTAACTTTAAGGCTTTTAATTTCACATTATAATAAAAAGTGTACTTGTTCATAGTTTAGATATGCTTCAATATTTTTCTTTAATATTTTGAATTAGCTTTATCTAATTTTAAAATTACAAATTAGACATTCCCTGAAGGAAAATAATTCTAAAATGACTCACATTGATCACATTGAATTGATGGATGAAGAAATTTTGTACTGTTAAACAAAACATCAAGCATATTAAATTCTTTGACAACATTTTTTTATGGCTTTTAAGATTTACCTGAATTTAATACATCTTATTCTTAATTCAAAGATTACTCTTTTCTAAAGATTGCTCTACTTACAAAGCTTTTAGCCATTGGTAAATGAAATTTCTCAGGATCTCCATCATTTAATACAATTTTTTATGTCTTCTTAATATCATTGTTAAGCTGGGAAGAATGATTACTTTAAGAGCTATGATCTGCTAAAGCTAATTATAAGGAATTTGATAATTAGAACCCAAAATTATCTTCTAAAAATTTAGTAACAGATTGAGAAAGTTATCGTTACTGTTTTATGCTTTTAATTTTATTTCCCAACCTAGTTTTTGGTGATCTACAAAAAACTACTGATTATTAAGTTTTTTTTAATAATCTTTATTCTAAATCAGGATAATAATTGAGAACTGGACAATCGATCTCTTAATGATTGTATCGATCACAAAATTAACAGCATAAATCAAAGATTCTATAATTTTAATAGAAAATGATTTAGTCTTTAATGTGATGAAAAGTTTCAAAGTCTTTTCTATTAAATTGTAATATTTCTAGAAAACATTTTCTGCTTATTGTATAAATTTTCGAAAATCCAATACTTATTGCTGAAGTCTTGGGAGGAAAATCTGTAAAAAATTAATAAAAACCAAAAGTCTTATTCTATTTTAATTTGTTAAATTTCATTTTACTATTTTCCTCCAAAATTTCAATTTCACCTTCTTTAATAAAGTAGAGATTTTTCTCCATAATATCTCCTCTTTTGTATATGAAATCTCCAGGAGAATATTTAACTAATTATAAACTCTTTGACAATAATTATTAGGTTCTTTGTGAGAATTGACTGATTACTGATTTTACTTAATTAATAACTCTTATTTAAATATCATCTTTTAAATCTTATTGTAGATTTTATGGTAGTATTGATATTAGATTGTCAACATCATCTTAATTTTCATTTTGCTCTTAATTTATATAGTACTTTAAGTAATTTCTTATTCTGCTTTATATTTTAGGTTCTACCTAATTTTTATTCATAAATGTATTCATTTTTAAAATAGATCTTTTATATTTTAATTTTGAGTCTTAAAGATTTTTTAAGATAATTCCTATTTAATTCATTGAGTAAGCAAAAACACCACTAGATAAAAACATAATAATATCAACAAAAATTAGTTCCAATTAACTTTATGCTGTAATATCACCATATCCTATTGTTGTCATTGTCATGGTTGCCCAATAAAATGCATAATTATATTATCTCCAGATAGGCTCATTCAATAATTCATATTTTATAAGCCATGATGTTTCCATAGATTTAATTCCTACATAATGCCAAAAGCATGCAACAATATGTGCTAATAAATAAATAGAAAGTATTAAGTTTAGTAAGTCCATTAGAGTATTTGAAATTCCTTTGAAAAATACGAATTCAAAATAATCTGAAAAATATCTATTGATTTTTTTATAAGTAATAATTAGTTAAGCAAAAGTTAAAAATTCTCCAAAAACTTAATATGTCATTAAGTTCTACTAAATTAGTGTCCATAATATTAAGTTAAGAATATCATTTGAAAAATTTGTTTGAATATACTTTTCAATCAATATTTTTCTTTTTGATATCAATATCCCTTATATAATAATTCCTTTATTTAAGGAGATCAATATGTCACTAATTAAAAATATAATAATTGAAAGCTTTATGGAAGAAAGCTAAACTTCATTTTAGTTCTATTAAAAAGACAATAAAAATGGGGTCAGCCATAATATTATAAAATTAAAGATGATTCCAATAGCATTCCAAATTAATATAAATCCACATGTTGGTTAAATTACTGGTATTCGTGATTAAGTATATGTATCTAAAGGTTTATTTAATTTTAAATACCTAATATAGGTTGTTTGTTACTTTCTTCAATATATTTATCATGAATTAGTTGTTTTTTATTTTACTTTAATATGTAAGAGTTCGTAAACAAATTATTTATAAATTATTATTTAATTTTCTCAGCCTTAATTACTTTCACAAAATTTGACTGAATCAATTTGCTTTTGAATTTTATTGTTTAAAAGGTGTTATTAATAGTATTATTATCTTCAGATATCTTAGAAAAGTTATTAGCCTATTCTTAAATAATCATTCTAGGCTAAATAGATATACTGCGGGAGGTTTATTTTCCTCTGTCAAAATCAATAATTTATCTGCAAGCATCATCTGATATTTCTGATAATCTTGATGCTGATTCACTCTTGCTGCTAATTTGCTTAGTAAATTTTCTAGGGCTTGATCTTAATTCAATATTTACTTTTTACATATATTATTAAAAATAATATTAAGTTACCCATATTTGAAAATGAGAATGAATTTAATTCAAAATTATTAAGGTCGTATTTGATTATCATCATTTTTTTTACAAATTAAATGTTTAAAGTTATATTATACAAGTTAATTAAGTGAGAGTTCTTCAATAATAAAAATGGAATTGTTGAAACTCTTAAGAACTATAGAATCAATTATATTTTGCAAAATATATGTTTAATTGTTAATGAAATAAATATATTAAAGCCAATTAGCCATAAATTCTAACAATAAAGATTTTAAAATTTCTGATCGTTTAATAGTCCATTCAACTAAATAATGAGAGAATAAAATAATTGAAAATATCTCTAAAATCGAAGTTATTTCTAAAAATGGAATCCTGAAAATTTAGGCAAGAAAATAAAATTCTCATTTAAAGATCAATTATTTTTTTTTGAAAGAATTATATGGTTTCTTCTGAATTAGATAGAAATTAATCAAAAATTAGTTGATATCGATGTTATTAATTTATGAGTCTAAAGAAAAATATTTAAAACAAATATTTTAAGTAAACATCATTCTTAAATAAATTAAACAATTATATTCTTGTTAATCTGATAATTTTGATTCGAATTTTAACAAGATGTTTTTACAAAGACTCAAATTATAAAACTTTAGTTTGGAAATCAAAGGATTAATAACCTTTAAAAAGTAAATAAAATTCTGTAAGTAATATCTTTATAGAAATTAAAAGAATGAATTTTAATTACTGCATTTAAAGAGTATGTTAAAATCTAACTCTACTTATATTAAGTAAATTTAGGTTTTAGATATAAATAACCATAAATTCAAATACTAAGATTTCTTAATTTAATTGAATATTAAATATAAACTATTTATAATATAATTCTTGGACTTTGTCCTATGTTGAAAAAAATAGTTGTTCGCTTTTTTCATCTACTTTTAATCAATCATATAATCTTACTTAGAATTGTACAATAATCAATGATTTAAAAATATTCTAACAAAATATTATATCGATTGTATTCCAAAACAATTTCCTTATTTTAAATCGTCAAAGATTGCAGTAAATTCATTAAAATTAATTTTTTAAAATTATAGTAAAATAATCTAAATTTATTGAAAATATTTTTTTGTATACAGATTTAATTAAATAAATTTATTGGATTTTTCATTAAATAATAATGGTTTCAATGATTAAGTAATTCAAAAGGAAATAAAATTTAAATCTATAATCTATAATATCTCGAATTCTTAATACGCCATAAAAGATGTAATCTAAACTTCAGTTTTTAAGGAAATTAATTAATACAACAATATATAATATAGAATGATTGATTTACACTCAGATTCTAAACAAACACTTTAGTAGCAAGACATAGAAGTTTATCAATTGATTGAGAAAGAAAAGGATTTACAATAAAATAGCATAAATTTAATTCCTAGTGAAAATTATACATCTAGAGCTGTAGCTGAAGCATTATCTTGTGTATTTAGCTCCAGATATGCTCCAGGTAATATCTAAATTTATTTTATAAAGGACCTCAAGGTAGTAAATATGCCCCATAGGTTGAAAATTATGATGAGATGGAGAAACTTTGTTAAGATAGAGCATTAGCAGCATTTTAATTGGACTCTCAATAATGGGGTGTCAATGCATAAATGGGGAGTGGATCATCAGCAAACTTAGCCATATTTTTAGGTTTGTTGGAACCAAAAGATAGAATAATGAGTATGGAATTTTAATAAGGTGGACATTTTTCTCATGGATATTAGATAGGAGAAAAGAAGTTATCAGCTATAAGCAAAATATTTGAAGTCCTATTTTATTAACTTAATGAAGTAAGACACATGATATAATTTATATAGAAAACTCAAGAAATTGATTATGATAAAGTTGAATTATTAGCTAAGGCATATAAACCAAAGTTAATTGTTGCTGGTTGTTCAGCCTATAGTAAATTAATAAACTTTGGAAGATTCAGAAATATTTGTGATTAAGTTGGAGCCATTTTATTGGCTGATATAGCACATACAAGTGGTTTAATGTCAGCAGGAGTTATTCCTTCTCCATTTCCTTATGCAGATATTGTAATGACTACTACTCATAAATCGTATAATTCAATTTTTAATCTAGCTTACGAGGACCAAGAGGCAGTTTAATTTATTATAAATTATAATATAAAAATAGAATAGATGAATCTGTTGCCCCAGGATTAGTAGCTGGAGCACATTTTCATACAATTACTGCTATTACTGTCGCATTAAAAGAGGCTCTATCTCCATCATATAAATAACTATAGAAAGACGTTGTAGAAAACAATAAACATTTCGCAGCGGAGTTCTAAAGATTAGGATTTGATTTGATTGCAGGGGGAACTGAAAATCATTTAATTTTGTTAGACTTAAGAAAGTTTAATGTTGATGCTATTAAAATGGAATATATCCTAAGTTAAATAAATATATAATGCAATAAACAATTCGTTCCATTTGATACAGTTACTCAACCAAGAGCATTAAGAATTGGGTACTTATAATTATAAAATTATAGATCAATTCCATTATCTGTTAGATAGGCATCTAAAGAGCATTTCACAAGGATTGCTTAAATCATAAAAGAATCTGTTGAGTTGGTTTAAACTGTTACTGTTGACATAAAATTATGGGCTTCTGAAAATTAAGATAAATTAATACCTCTAAAATAAAAAGTTGTTGAGTTGGCAAATGAATTACCAATTCCTTGGATGTGAAATCTTATATTATATTCAATTATAATAAATAATTGTATATAATTTATTATATTATTTAAAAAATATGAAATTGTAAATAACTTTTGCTCTCTGATTAATATAGTTATTTAAATTTTTAATAGATATTTCAATTAAGTATGTAATAAAAAAGATGATTATATTTTCAAATTTGTTTATTTAAATTCAAATGGAATACAATATACAAATGATAATCTGTTGATTAATTAAGTATCTTTACAAACTAATAGATATTTTTAATAAAATTGATAAATTGAATTAATAAATAATGTTGAATTTCCAATAATGATAATATTTGATAATAAATTCACTATTTCTTGCAAATGACTACTGTAACATCACACCAACTTCCAACAAATAAATTATTACCACTAATTAAGGCTCCTGATAATCCTTTCGATAATTCAGTATTTTATGCTAGATATATTAATTTATTTTATGTTAAGTCATATTCTCCAACTGTTCCATAATATTCAAATTTAGTTTATCTTTCCAATCGATCTACTCCTTTCAAAAATCCATCTAAAGAAAAATAATTACTCATTTTTGGTATGAGTCCAAGAATCAAAGAGTTCCTTTCAGAATCGTATTCTAAATTATCTATTGAGTTTTCAATATCAATATATCTCTTGAATATTAAACCTTATTTTGTTAATTCATATTCATTCAATTATTTGGCAATACTGTCAGCAGCCCAAACCAAATTCTTTTAATTCCAAGTGATCCCATTTAAAACTACTCCTGATAGTGAAGGATCAAGTAATTCTATGCATGTTGGTTGAATAATAGTGGAATTCTTTTCAAATTTACAATCAATAATAAAAGAAGTTCGTTATTAACTTATCCATATAAATAAAGTCTTAATAAAATGAGATGGAGCCATTTCAGATCTTCCTTATTTAGGATCTGCGTATGGTAAATACTTAGTAATTAAATATCTATTATCTTCAATAACTATTAGATCATTCAAAATTCCATTGTATTTATCATCCATAATGATAGAATGTTGATATTCTAAATTAAGATGCTCATCTAAGATTTTAAAGACTTCTATTCTTTCTCCACCATTCCAATATGCATGATTAAGTGCATAGATGTATTCTCCATCTTATTGTTTTCTAATATCTAATCCATGCACATATAGTGAAATGTTAGTTGGAAAATTCTAAATTCCTAATTTCACTACTTTTGGTTTCTCATCTTAAGAATTAACAATTGCATATAGTCCAAGCTATTCTAAAATTGGTTTTCCATGTGACCATAACTTATGGAAGTCTCCAGATCCTACAATGATTGTTGTCTAATTGTATTTTTGCATATCCTCTGGACCAATAATATTTGTATCCAAATATTCACAATTTGAATAAGTATTCACAACTGGGACACTCTTGAAGAAATCAAAGAATCCAATCATCACTTTTATTAAGAATGCTAAAGAGGCTCCAAAAATCAAGGCTTTAATTTTCATAGAATAATTGGATAGTATCAATTTAATTTTGTTGTATTTAAATGTAATACGATGACTTCATTGTGTTTTATTGATGATAAATTGTTATCAGTGATTCTTAATTCAAAACCAGATTGAGATCTTTATTAACAATATTTTCTATAATATATATATATACAAATTTAAGTTTATCAATATAGAACTCTAAAACGACTATCAGTTTGTTTAATATCCTATCTATTGATTTAGTATAATATTAATAATAAAAATTAGTATTGATAAAGTATTACTTAATTCAAAAAAAGAAGTTTGAGTTTATATTATATTGTTCTCTTTTGATTTCTTGTTAATAGATTGATATAATAAATATAGTATATTAAATGAACAATCATTTTAATATTTAATTAAAATCATTGATTATGAATGATATTTAAATTATATTTACATTCAAGTAAGATTTCAACTGTTTGATTATATATTAATGATTTAAAATAAAAATAAAAATTAATATTTTTAAATCATAGTATTCAATATAATTTTTAGAATGTGCAAACTAATTTTAAAGTATATTCATTCTATTATATTAAAAAATGATTAAGCGTACAAAATTAAGACATCAAAATTTGAATTGTGCTTACATCAAAAAGAAGAAGTTTTGGGAATTCATAAAAAGATTATAAAAAGCATAGTCTATTGATACAAGCTTCAAAAAGTGACTTTTGATTAAATTACCTTTTATTTGAACTAGCCCAATTTGCTGCCAATATTGAATATGAAGATGCAACTTTATTTATTCGTTTTAAAACAAATATTAAGTTCATTTCAATCATAGTATTTTTAGTTTATAAAAAGTCTATGTTAAAATTTGGTAAATAGTTTTCTATAAAATTAACAAATTTACAACAACATAAAATAATAGATATAAATATCTAAGCATTACATTTAAATTCAAATTGACAAGATATTTTAACCTTATTTCTGAATAAGGATTATAATTATGCAATTAAATCTTTATTATTAATACTTGATTTGATATCATACTTGTATTCTTGAGTCAAAAAGGATAGATTAAATAAAGTCATTTATAAATATGCATAATTCAGTAGTCTTTTATCTAATTTATCTATTTATTTTTTTGTTGATTGAGATTTGTTTTAATTAAATTGCATAGTAGAACAATAAAATTGATCTTTTATTAATTATGATACATTTTTAGATAATTCTTATAAAAATATAATGAGCATGTCTTAACTTTTTTAATCTGGAATTTATATTTTATCTAAAATAAGTAAGCATTAAACTTCATTATTTAAAATACATTTAGTTAATTTAACCTTATAAAAGATTTTGTTAATTTAATCAATAAAATACTTTTACTTTTCTTATTTTTCAAGAAAATTAGTTCTTTTTTCAGTAAGCATATTTCTTACATATTATTCTAAATTATTTGCTTGATCACAAGATTGATGTTAATATGTTGAATTTGCAAAAATTAACTAGATATAGAATAAAAATTACTTACATTTCTCAAAAATTATCTTAAATCATAACATCCATTAATACCATGAATTTATTAGGATCTGATACTTTGTTTGACTAATCTTATCTAATCTTATTTCTAATCATAACGCATTAAAATAATAGTATTTGAAATAGCCTTTCGAATAATCCATTCCCACTATTCTTATTGAAATGAATAAAAAAATTCTTCCTTTTTTTTCCTTTCATAATTGTACTTTACTGCTACCATACAAATCATCATAAAGAAGAAACTTAGAATATGTGCAATACTATATATCTCATCAAAAGGCATTAATAGTACATGAATAGTTGTAGTAATTAATAGAACAGATGTTGATACCATCATATCAGTACCTTATAAATATAAACAAAAGTGCATAAAACAAGTTTAATACCCATAACTCCAATTAAATAAGTCATTGGTTTTGTTTGAGCTATCCATAATTTTATTAATTTCAACTATGAATAATACATAAAACTAATAGAATGATATCACATAATTTATTAGATATGGCTTATGTGTTATCAATTTTTATAATCCTACTATTAAGAAACAACTAAATCCAGCTAATATGGAATAGTAAATACTCTAAGCCAATATAAATTAAACCATATTTAATATTGCAAATGTCTACAATTTTATTATACTTTTTACCAATGCATATATTGTGAAGTTAAGGTGCTCTTTTATGATTTTAGGTGAGTTTTGCTAAAGGTATTTATCTGATTGATCTTTATATAAGAAATTTAAAGTGTATTTATTCAACATATTTTAGAAATTAAAATAAGGATTTAAAACAATGTTGCAAAAACAACTTTAATACTTAAATACTTAAGATTACTTTTAATAACTTATTTTCTTTCAATATGTTTTAGTATATTTTGTTATAAATAAAAAAAAAATTAATGATCATTAATAATAACAGAAACCAAATTTAATGATTATGTAAAGACCAATGAGTTTACTTGAGTATGCTTTATCTGAATCGAATTTAAGTATGAATATTAAAAAAAGGAATTTAACAATTGAAACTTAATCTATATAGACAAGTCCCAATTTATTTTAAAATAATCAAGCAGATTTAGAATTATTAGTGGATATGCATTCTTAAAATAAATAATGGGTAACAATGGAATTGTTTAGATTAATAATTTAAAAAATTGAGGAAAAATTTAATGAAATTGAATAAAGATTAGATAATAGAGAAGGATTTCAAAATTTAACCTAAAAATATATTTAGTAAAAGAAAATGTCTAAGAGTTATTAATAAGGTGATTTTAGTTAAATGGATTAAAGTCAAGATGAAGTAGAATCAAAATTATAAATAAGTTAAACAAAAAGACTTAATATTTCATAACTTAAGAAATCAGAAATTAAAGAAATAAGAAATGATGAACCATTAATAGGACGATAAAATTTATTAGAAAAGAAATTAGTATAATTAGAGGATAAATAAACGAAAATATAGAAGGAAATAAATAATTTTACTTTAGAAATAGAATCAAAAATATAAGTAATGATTAAAATATTCTACATTAATAGTAATGTATAAAATAGATTGATTGGAGTTTGGAAAAATTTAATAAATTTTCTTAAGAATTATTGGATAAAGTTAAAAATGTTACTGATAATCATACAGAGATATTTTAACATATACAAAAGAATAAAGAAGATATAAAGTAATATTATCATAATTATTATATTTAGTTATGTTAGAATAAGTGTTGAACATTTTAATTAAAATACATTAACATAACTTGAATAAATTTCAGCTTCTATTATAAATCTAAATAATTTTGTAGAAAAACATGATATTGAATTGAAATTCTATAAAGAAATAATTGAAATAACTGAAAGTGATATTTTAAAATTAATTTAATTTGAAAAGGATATATTAAAGATTGTATATACACGTTAAGAATAAAATGAGAAATAAGGAAAATGACTAAAAATAATATTTAATTATAGACAATAAAATTAAATTGTTAATGAAATTATTCATATCTAATAATAATCTCTTTCAATCATCATAATAATAAGAATGCATTATTAATTTCTATAATAAATTAATCCATAATGAATTCTGAATTATTCGCTTGTTAATTTTGCAAAGAATATTTCTCTATTCAAAGAGAGCCTTTTCTATTACCTGATTGTGGTCATAGTGTTTGTGCAGAATGTCTAAATGTAAAATTAAAAAATGGAAATTAATTTGTATGCAAAGAAGATGGGTATTATATTTGAATTATTATAAAAGTGTATAAGTAACAAGAAATTAAATGAATGAATTTCCTAAAAACTTTGCTTTGTTATAGATAATCAAAAATAGACCAACCAATAGAAAAATTGTAATGAACAATTCTCCAAAATAATTAGAAAATGAATAAGATTCTGATAGGTGCAAGAAACATGGTGAGAAAATGGATGTTGTTTGTGTTGATCATCGTGTTAGGATTTGTGCAAAATGTGCATTATTTGGAGATCATGCAGATCATAAAGTTGTTAATTTAGAAGATGCGTTAAAAAAGATTATTAGAAGAATTGATGAATTAAAGGATATGTCAGAAAGACTTGATAAAGTTACAAATGAAACCTTTGAAATGTCATAATATTTTAACAAAATTGAATTGCATTTTTAATCCAATTTAGATGTATAAATTAAGCAAGTCAATTCATTTTTTGATGAATTAACATTAGTATTAGATAATAAAAGAAATAAAATTATATCAGAATGCAAAGAGAAGATTATACATTCTTAAGAACTTTATAATAAATATATTACAGAAGCTTTTATTGATGTTCAAAGAAAAGTTGAATTATGGAGAATGACTAGTAAAGATAGAATTCATTATTATGAAGAATAATAAAAGGCTAATTCTATTCCATTTGAATTAATCTCTATTTCTTCAACTAATGAATTGATGTTAATAGGTTCACAATATTTAAAAGAATTAGAATCTACAAAATAGTAAATACTCCTTAAGATAGATGAGCCATCTTATAGAGAAGTTCATCTAGAACTTAAAAGTGATTTAGAGTAATTCATAAATACATATTTGATTGTTTATTAAAAAGATCCTCAATTTAAATTAGAAAATTCATTATCAAGACTTGAATCAGTTACTGAATGTTCACTTCTTAAAGATATAAATAGTTCTATAATTTAAGATCCTTTAAATTAAAATTAAATGGAATTATGGATCAAATAATATTAAGAGAATTAATAGTAAAAATAATTAAATCAATAATATTTATATTAATAAGAATAATAATAATAATAATAATAATAATAATAATAATAATAATAATAATAATAATAATAATAATAATAATAATAATAATAAT